CTCTCTCTCTCTCTCTCTCTCTCTCTCTCTCTCTCTCTCTCTCATAAATAAATAAATAAAATTTAAAAAAAAAATTCATGAATTCCTAAGTGGCCCCTCTCAAACCTCTAACATCAATTTTCATACTTTTTAGTTTGAAACTGAAAATTTTGATTCTCTGTTTAGAAGTACAGTAAACATTGTTGTCCAGGGGTTCATTATTTGATATTTTCACATATGAAGTGCTTGTGCATTAGTTTCTGTCATGTTTGGTTTCCACTGATTTTGCTATCCGCTGACTGTCAGTGTTGGGTTACATAGGTCTTTGTGCAGGGCAGGAGATCCTGGGTTTTACACTCATCACATTCAATTTTGTGTCACCTAGATGATTCAAGGATGGGCTTCAGTGTAAGGATGTTCTTCACTGAGATATTACCTTTCTTTCTATTGTTTCATAGAATATGGGCCCTGGCAGAGGGTTAATTTTCTAGAGCACCTCTACATGGCTGAGTCTGTATTCTAGCCTGTTTCTCAACCTTTCAGGGAATTCACAAGCATTGCCAGCCTCGCGAGTCCTCTTCCTACTCGTATGTGTTTCTTGGGGAAAAGATGTTAGTCTTGACTGTCTGGATGTTTTCCTGTGCTCAGATCATGACCCAGCTGTTTCTTATTACCTTGTTAACTCCTACAGGCTTTTATGTCAATTCAAAGACATATTTCAGCAGATGTCATTTAACCAGTAGTTTGTAGAAGCATTTTCTAATTTATTCAGTTCTATATTACAGGGATAGTTAATTTTATTCTTATGATTTAATTTTTCAGGATTTTTGTATAGAAGAAGAAAGAAAAGTTGTATGTCCAACAATTATCACCAATGAATTATAGAGTAAAACGTTGTTATAAACTAAAGTTTAATTATGTTCTTTTCTAATGCTTCTTTTCATTTAATAAATAGGCCATTATGAAGTACACTGATTTATTTGAAAGAGTGTTGGCCTGGAATTCAGTTTTCTTTCATAGCACTTCTCTCTAAAAAAGTCTTTTGATATTGAATCAGTTTATTAATTTCAGTCATGATTTCCTGATTTGTAAAATTAAAAAAAAAATTGAACTAGATAACTTCCAAGCTTGAAACTCCACTGATCCAACTCTAAAACTTAAAAGGCCATTTTTACAACAGGAATTTTTATAGAATTATTTTCTTTCTGTTTGACAGTTTGTATTTCCAGTAAAAACCTGTTTCCAGGAAGTACAAGGCACAGAGGAACTGACAGCATACAGTGCAAGGAAGCTGTCAGAAACGTGAAAATATCCATGGAACGCATACTTGATTGTAGATTAATTTTGGGTAGAAAGATGAGGAAGGGAGAAATCGTATATTAGATGAGAACTAAAAGCTATTTCAAAATACATGCTACTTGCGGACCTTTCTTCATGCCAGTACTCCAAGCAGTTTTTAAAAACAAGAAAAATGAGACAGTGAAAGAAATGTGAACATAAGCTGTTCTTTACTTATATTAAGATATTATTGTGGGTTGAATGACATTCTTAGTGTTGTTTCTATTTTGAAAAAAAAGTCCTGGCCTATCTACAAATATAATAATATAATGTCTGAGATTTGCTGAAGCATGGTCAAGGTAGGTTAGGCAGGGCAGTAGATGGGCATGAGCAGAACTCAGATTTAGCAGCATATGCTGATAATTGTTGAAATGAGCTAATGGGTAAACAGGAGTGTGTTGTATTGTTCTATCTACCTTTGTATATATTCATGCTTCTCTATAATAAAATGTTTTTAAAAGTGAGGTAAGGGTATACAAGATATGATAATAAGGTTAAATTTTCATCATATAAAATAAAAACTTTGCAGGTTCCAGAATTCCCACTGGCCTTTGAACATACAGTTCTAATGGCAATGCTAAATTATTTAGTGCTCTGGACAGGGTATCTGTTTAAGTCATCCACACTGCAGAGAATCAAAGATTCCTTCTTAACAAGAGTTTTTATCATCATGGTTATAACATGAAAAGAATATATTGTTGGATTTGATTATATTTCAACATAGTTTAGCATTGATTTTTTAAAAATATATCTTATGATTTATTTTGTGATATAAGTTCTTGAATTGATAATTTTTTGTGAAATCAGACATTATTGTTGATTCGTGATATTTAAATATTTTTCTTTTTTAATTAGGTTTCAGAATACTGTTAATAATCATGCTGGAAAATAAGACAATTTCCTCTTCTGCTGAAGGTGATCAAACTGAAAAAGGTATGCTTATCCTAAATTGATTTGCTTTGAAAATAGATCATAGATACATGGAATTCAAGTCACTTACAGAAACAGCAGCTGCAGGATCCTGGCTTTCTCTAGGATCACAGAGTTGTTAAGCCATACTTACTAGGATGGGGGAGGTGAAGCAAGATAAACGCGCATATCAGTTTGAGGAAAATTCCCTGTTTAGATGCTAATCAGTGTCTTGAACAGTTCCCACTGAACTGTGGCACAGGCAGTCAGATAGGTGGGAGGCATCACAATGACAAACTTGAGCCAATTCTTCCTGGCTTGGTCAACCAGGTGTACACATCCCTTCTCAATACCACTCCATGAGTAGTGAGCAAGTGGCTCAGGCTCTACAGCTTCTCTTCCTACAGCTAGTGAGTTAATTTTTTTTTTTTACCAGCATATTACTGAAGATAAACATTAAAAGGAAAATGAAAACATTGTATTTAAAGCAATTTTTAAAAATAGCATTTAACCTTTGAGGACCTTAACTGGGAACAATAGATATTCTTTTAGTTATTTACTGCTGTGTTGATAGTAAGCCACCACCAGGAGTATATGGCATTCACTTTCTCTCACGAGTCTGCTAAGTGGTTCTGCAGATCCTACATGGATGCAGTATGGCTCACATATGCTTCTACAGTGAGATGCAGGTCAATTAAACACTGCTATTGATCTTACTCATTTTGGCTGTGCTCTTTACCATGTGTAAAGGCCTTATCTTGGGAAACTAGATGACTCAGCTCCAAATCATATTGTGTGTCATTCCCCAGCAGGCAAGTAGAGATCCCATGGCACAATTTTAAGACAAATTGTAGAACTACTTAAGACCTCTTTTTTTTTTTTTAATGTATTTAGTACAGGATCTAAAGGGTCTCACTACACAGATCGGATTTGTAGTGATCCTCCTGTTTTCAGCCTCCCATCTGCTGGGATTACAGGCATGCTCCACCATTCCCAGTCTCAATCACCATCTCAATGTACCCTGGGGGCGGGGTGGCATGGTAGGCAGGGAATTGAACCCAGACCCTTGCATATGCCTAAGCAGGTGCTTTGATCTGCTGAGCTATTTGGCTGGCCCTTGTTGAAGATCTCTTGAGACCGATACTCTAGATTGTTGTGCTGTTATTTCTGCCAATTTTATGAACCAAAGAATATCACAAGGCCATAGAGAGTCCAAGAGGTAGAGGAGATTCCATCTGTCTTAGTCTGTTTCCTTTTTTTTTTTTTTCGGAACTGGGGATTGAACTCAGGCCCTTGTGCTTGCTAGGCAAGCACTTATTCCACTGAGCCATCTCCCCAGCCCAGTGTGTTTCCTTTTGCTATAACAGAATACGTGAGATTGGCTAATTTGTAAAGGAAATTAGTTCATTTTAATTCATAATTCTGGAGGCTAAGGGTCCACAATACCTACTCAGCTTCTGAAGAGGGTTTTATGTTGTGCTATAACATGGCTAAAAAGAGCAAAAGGCCAAACAGTTATGAATGGATGAGATTAAACAGAGGGCCAAACTTGCTTTATAATAGCCTACTACCAAAAAGTAAGTAACTAATCCAGTGCATGAGAACCAAGTTATTCCATCTTCATGAACTAAGTGCAACTGAAAGGTCCCATCACTTCTCAGTACAGTTACTCTGTGGACCAGACTTCAACCTGTGATTCAGAGGCAATGAAATGTGTTCAACCTGGAAAACTACATCTTACTAGAAGATGTTGGAAAACCATTTTGCAAAATAAGTGAATGCTGAGAGGATAAAACTACTGGGGCTATGATTATAATCAAATTACCATGGTCATCTTCTAGATGATAAAATAGTCATTGTTATGGCTGACACATTGTGTCAATATGTGAAATTTGGAAAATAACCCAACAGAGGGCCAGGGTTCTCAATTTGTAAACATCTTGAGTCTGCGCAAGAAGAGATGGCTATGAGTACTACACCCACCCTAGAGCAGGCTTGCTTTCTCCTTTTTTTCTTTGCTTTCTTTTTTATTTTTTAATGTATTTGGTACAGGGTCTCACTACGTAGCTCAGACTCCTGGTGATCCTCCTATTTCCAGCCTCCCCAGTGCTGTGATTACAGGCGTGCACCACCACGCCCATTCTAGGTGGCCAGCTTAGTTATGCCCAGGGGCAAGGCTAGCACAGCATATGGTGCTGGGGATCCAACCTGGGTTCCTGGCTTGCCTAAGCAGAGGCTTAGTCTGCTGAGCTATCTCCTGGCCCTGCTGTTGGTATCTTCCGCAACTTTTTTTTTGAACTGTTGCCTCTCAGCTATGCTTTTCTGCTTTTATCCAGCTGATTACAGACTGAAGCTTCCAAAAACTGTGAGCTAAGTGAACCTTTCTTTCCTTTATTTTGGGCATTCTCATTTTATCTCAGCAAAGAGAGATAAGTGACCAAGACAGTCACTTAGTAATTCCAAACGTGGGTAAGGTCATGGCATGATGGATTTTATGTAAAATTCTTAATTATGGGTAGAATTTTACCCAAGCATTACCATATTCATTTTATGACTATTTGAATAAAAAAGCTTTTTAAATCTCTACTCCATCAATATTAATTTTTAAAATGTTATTTGATTTTCAAAGAGTTTGTTTAGTATAAAAGATTACATTTATGGAAATGACTCTAATTTTAGATTAACAAAATAGACCAGGTTATTCATTTAAAATAATGCTTCCAATAAAAGAGTTTATAGAGATATGGCAGTCAAGTCATGCTAGAGTATGACTTACATTTAAATATTTAAAATAGATACTGAAAATTTTTGTACCAGTTATGATGGTAATTTCAAATGCTAATCACTTATTCTATTCTTCAAAGGGCTGAGCTGCTGATTTTCCACTGAATGTTTCATAAAACCTGTTAATTTTGTATTAAAACAGAAAGTGATCAGTCTGCACTGGTTTATAAGCAAAAACTTGAAAATTAATCACATTAAAAATGGCCCAGCCCCCACTGCATTCCATGCAAAGGAGAAATACATATATTCAGAAAATATTACATAGGAAATTATTTAGTGAAATATAAGCATTCTGTGGTATAAATTATTTCTATAAAGGCAGAAGAAATGAGAATGTCTAGCTGTGTAAACCTCAATAATTAATAGTATTTTAAAATGTGCTTGATTAACAAGTTTAGGATTTTTGTGTTTTAAATAACATTAAAATCAGTATCTGTAATGCTGATACCAATAGTGGTTATCACTCATAATCAAATTCCATTTTTTGGTATTGTAACACCATTAAACTCCCTATTCTCCATGGAAAATAACCATCAAATATAGAGAAAATTCATCTAATCAGATAAAGCATTGAGATATGTATTTAAGCTATAGGAATTTATCTAACATTAATGTTTATTACGCTGTCTTGGCAGATTTTAAACTTTCACATCCAAAGCAATCTTTGCTAGATGATATATGAAGCTTTTCAAAAGATTTGTCATTAGCTGGCCAGCATAAGAACACAGTACCAGGAGTTATACATACTCATTGCAAGGATACTATAGTCCACACACAGTATTTTTTTGTTTGTTTTTTTTGAGATAGAATTCTCCAGGAGCATCCTCTCCAGGGCTGAGATTACATGTGTGCACCCCCATGCCCAACTCAACAATCCTTTTTATTAACTTATTACACAAATCTTTTTCTGATGCTGGGTTAATCACCATAAAACTACTACAATATTAAAATTTTCATTATTATTCTATAAGTAAAAAATTAACTCTATGATTATCCCGTGTCTCAGTTAAAAGAAATAGTAGAATGTTTTCAAATAGTCACAGCCATATTGTTTTAAACATATCAGCCAAGTTTTCATATAACTCATATTCACAAATGTCAAGCTCTGTCTTAGAAAAAAATCACTTTACAGTAAACAGTGCTATTTTTCAAAATGTAGTGTTTGGATCTGCAGGCAATATGTTCACTGAATACAAAAGTTCATTTTATACCAGCATCACAGTTACTTGCATTAAAGAATTGATAATGTATTTTTTATAATTATTAATTTTCTCATACTTCTCTGAAACACCTATTTTCCACATAACAGGCAGATACTATTCATACAGTGTCTTTTTTTTTTTTTCAGAGAGTGCCTTAAAGTTTTAGAATTGGAAAATTTTCACATATGCAAACATGTCTGAAACATATTCATACAGTACAAAGATTTATAATATTGAATTTGCACACATTCATGACATGGTTTACATCTGGAAAGCATCCCATGTATTGAATGCTATGTCTCAGCCTGGCACCATTAGAATTTGGTGGAAACAGTTAAGTGGCAGGGCATAGTGCCGGACATTAGATCAGTGGTAAAGCACTTGCTCAGCATGTGCTAGGCTTGGGGCTGGATCCTCCGCGTTGGAAAGGACCAAAAATCAAACAAAACAGGAGGCGGAGCCTAGTAAAACACTGCTGGTTATTTTTTATTAAGATGGCTTTTTAGGGGCTAGGGAGATAGCTCAGTGGCATAAGTACCTGCCTGGCAAGCACAAGATCCTGAGTTCCATTCCCAGTATCGCAATAAATACATAAATAAATAAGGCTTTTTAGGTCAAGGAGGTATATCCAATAGGTATACAGAGTCCAGAATTGTTTATGGATTTAATTCTAACAGCCAGAAACAGCCTGCTAAATTTGCTAAAAGTTTTTCCCACATAAGAATTCTCTAGGTAGCTCTTAGTTACTCTTCTCTCATTGGTGGGGCAAATAAGCGACACTCAAAATGAAGGAAGGAAAGGTTTATTTAGCTCACAGTTACTGGAGGTTTCAGTCTATACTTAGCTGGGTTCAAGGTAGAGCAGCACATAGTAGAAAGCAACCTTTCATGGTGGTGGCAAAGAGCAAGAGTGCAAGGGAGAGGAGTAGCAGCAGCTCAAGCAGCTAGCTTCTCTTCCCTCCTTACATTGTAATGCAGATTACCTGCCCCAGGGCAGGTGCAGCATCCACACCCGCAATAAACAATCACAAACTCCAGA